TCTGTTTGGGAAAGGTGATGCGTGGGTCACCAGCCAGCAGTGATCACGGAACGCTGCGGATGGCTCGCCGAAAAACACACGAGAAAAAACATGCACATAGACAGACTAGTTTCTGTGGGAAAGTAGAGATGGAATGGCCACCACCCCTAGTGGGGAGCACGCTGATTTACCATCCATACCTGCTTTTATTGGGCTCATTTTGCATAATAATTCAGGTAAAGTACAGTACTCATTAGGGGGAAGTAAGGAACCATAGAAAACAAGGAACTCTGCCGGTCTATTTTGAGTCGGGGTCAAAGAGCTGTAAGACTTTGAGGAACATAACTTCCTCCTTGGACCCCTCTCATTCAACTGAGAGCATTCTAAACAAAGAAGGTTTCACAGTAATTTACATATTCTTTCTTAGGCCTGATCACCCAGGGAACCCACCTTTTTCAGCACAGAGCTGCACCACCCTGTCATTGTTTCAGGCTTAGGTGGAGCAAGGGAACTAAGGCAACCAAGAGATAAGGAGATTTTCTCCCAGACGATGAGAACTCAGGCTATGTCAAAGCCGAGGAGCGAGGGTCCATCACCCCCTTTTGCTGCAGCCCCCCTGTTACAGGGTGCAGCCAAGAGGGGGGACCCCAAATGGGCATTTGAAATGGGGTCCAGAACTTAAGGTGTCCAGGAGATTTTAAGATGTCTCCATCCCCCTGCCCAGGGTGTGGGTTGGGGGAAGGGACAAATGGAGCAGGGCCATTGAGAGTTGTTTTGCAAAGCAACAGCCTTGCAGCTACCCTCTGGCATGGTCATTTAATATATCTATAGCCTTTGGCTGGTTGCTTAGATATGTTAAATAACTGTGATCATCTGTGAGCCAGGGGAATGGAAGTAACTTCCCCACCAACACATGACTGGGGTAGATCCCCCAAGCTACAGCACCTGTGTGGGAGCTCGGAGAAGATTGGCTCCAGGACATGGGGCCACACCTGCCCAGACTCAAGATGGCAGCCCAGTAAAGCTGGAAGGATACGAGTTCCGGCATGTGAAGCTCAGTGTGGGAGGAGTCGGAAATGAGGCTGCAGAGGAAGATTGGCCGCGGGGATTTAAAACCCAGACTTGGTGGCCATTAGAAAAAGAGAACCACGTGGCTTTGGCAGAGTGAGGGCTCTCCCTTCCCACAGCCATAGGAAAGAGAACCACGCGGCTTTGATGGAGTGGAGACTCCTGCATCCCAGAGAGAACCACGCGACTTTGGCAGAGTGGGGACTCTCCCCTTCCCGCAGCCCTGAAAGGGAGAACCACAAGGCCCGGACAGAGCGGGGACCCCCGCAGATTTAAAAGGGGGAACCACCACCTGGTTTTAGCAGAGATCCTGGTGACTCAGCTGAGGGTGCCGGGAACCCAGGGAGGTCTCCCAGTTGAGAAGGAGGACTAACTAAGAACCAGAGGACTGTCTGAGCCATGGACTTTGTTTTCCTTCCCTGAGATACGGTACTCTGGACTGGGCAAAGGGGGAAGGAAGGAAGGACTGTATCTGTTTGTGGGTGTTTTGGGGGACTTTGGGATTTTTGATAAAGACATTAGGTCACTACTTCAAGTTTGTATAGCATTAAATAAACATTTCCTTTCCTTTTCACGAATCTCTGGCATTGAGAGACGTCTTTCCTCGGGTGGCGGACATGACGGACCCGGGGCCTTCTTTCAATAATAGTATATCATCCCAGGCCCCCCTTGTTTGTTCTGTAACACCCCAAGTCCCTCTTTTGGGGGGCCTCCCAAAGTGATCATGCCTGTCTTAGGTCATTCCCCCCTTGGGGAATCTTACCCGTCTTTGGCTAATCGACCAAGCTTTTTGGGGTTCAGTTATGAATAAAGCAGCAGAAGCAGCATTCCTGCCAGGGAGATAAGCTTTTGTCTCCTTGCTGGCTTACGGTTCCAAGGGCGTTCCCTTAGCCTTAGCCTAGGCGGGGGTTTTAGCTCCTGATACCAGTCAGGGTGGTTCCCAACAGAAAGGTGCAGTCTAAAAATAATTGGGCCTTGACAGATTTGGGGTACTATTGGTTGAGATAACACTTCACCAGACTGAGGGTGAAAGTCTCCCTCCTGAAAGAGTTTTCTTAAGTATTCCTGTGAGGCTTACAGTGTTGGGCAGGGAGAAAAGAGGAGGTGAGGGACAAAACTTTGGAAGTTACAATATTTTAAAATAAATTTTCATAAAGGTCAGTCTCAAATGTTCAGGCGTTGACCTCTGTGTGTATGTAAATTCATATGTAGATATAATTTAAACTCAGGAATACATTCATGACCATGGGAGATGAGGGTCCTTAAGATGTGGCCACTTTTAGATCATAATCTCAGGAAGTTGTTGGTTAAACCATGATCACAGATTATGAGGATATTGTTGTTGTTGATATTTTGGTTTTAAGTCATGTTTATTTAAGAATAACTCACATACAGGACTTCCAGCAAGATGGAGGCATAGGTGGACGCACCGTACCTCCACACGCAACCAAGATTAGAACAACAACAATTTAGAGCTAGAATAACACCCAGAACTGATAGAGAATTTATCTGAATGGAAGTCGGACAGCCAAGAAGTTGAAGTAGACCCATTCATCCAGACTGGTAGGAGGAGCGGAGCGGAGGCGGGTGGGCGCAGGTCAGCAGCAGCATGCGGTGATCAGGGAGAACTAGGTACATAAGCCATCCGGGGCGCGCAAGATCACAGCGGTGGACCCTGAGTATGCAAGCAGCGGCTGGTGGACCTAGTGAGAAGGCGATTATGGACCAAGGCAGAGCGCGCAACCCAGGATCCCAGAGAAGGGACTGTGATCCCAGGAGAACGAAACTACCACCATTGTTCCCTCCAGGCCCCGCACCCGTCCCCACATACAATGTCACAATCTAGCGACTGGGGTGCCCAGCCCAGGTAAACACCTAAGGCTCCGCCCCTCACCATAACAAGAGCGACCAGAGGGGAGGGGGAAGAGAGAGCGATGGCTCAAATAGAAGAACAAATCAGTGCCCCAGAACTCATCCTTTTGAGCAACCAAGAAATAGCCAATCTATCAGATGCACAGTTCAAAACACTGGTGATCAGGAAGCTCACAGAATTGGTTGATTTTGGGTGCAAATTAGATGAAAAAATGCAGGTTACCATAAAAGAGATGAAGGAAGATGCACGGAGAGCCAATAGGGATGGGAAGGAAACTGGGTCTCAAAATAATAGAGTGGGCCAGAAGGAAGCAAAAAACAACCAAGCAGGAAAACATGAAGAAATAAGAATTCAAAAAAAACGAGGAAAGGCTTAGGAGCCTCCAGGACATTTTTAAATGTTCCAACATCCGAATTATAGGGGTACCAGAAGGGGAAGAGGAAAAGCAACAAGTGGAAAAGTTATTTGAACAAATAATAAAGGAGAACTTCCCCAATCTTGCAAAGGGAATAGACTTCAAAGAAATCCAGGAAGCTCAGAGAGCCCCAAAGAAGTTGGACCCAAGAAGAAACACACCAAGGCACACCATAATTACATTAGCCAAGGTAAAAATGAAGGAGAGAATCCTAGAAGCAGCAAGAGATAAGGAGACAGTCACCTACAAAGGAGTTCCCATCAGACTGTCAGCTGATTTCTCCAAAGAGACCTTACAGGCAAGAAGGGGCTGGAAAGAAATATTCCAAGTCATGAAAGACAAGGACCTACATCCCAGATTGCTCTATCCAGCAAAGCTCTCATTTAGAATGGAAGGGCAGATAAAGTGCTTCCCAGATAAGGTCAAGTTAAAGGAGTTCATCACCACCAAGCCCTTATTTTATGAAATGTTAAAGGGACTTATCTAAGAAAAGAAGATAAAGAAAAAACACGTATAGTAAAAGGACAGCAAACTCACAATTATGAACAACCACACCTAAAGCAAAACCAAAAGAAACCAAGCAAACAACTAGAACAGGAACAGAACCACAGAAATAGAGATCACATGGAGGGTTAGCAACAGGGGAGTGGGAGGAGGAGAGAGGGGGAAAAGGTACAGAGAATAAGTAGCATAGATTGTAGGTAGAAAATAGACAGGGTGAGGGTAAGAATTGTATGGGAAATGTAGAAGCTAAAGAACTTATACGTATGACACATGGACATGAACTAAATGGGGGGAAGTGGGTGGTAGAGGGTGTATAGGGTCAGGGGAGTCAAGGGGGGAAATGGAACAACTGTAATAGCATAATCAATAAAAATATATATATAAAGAAAAAGAAAAAAAGAATAACTCACATACAATAAAATTCACCATTTTTAGAGCACAGTTTTAAGAGTTTGACAAATGCATGTAGTCATGAAACTACCACCACAATACGATACAAAACATTTCCATCACTCACTAAAAGTTCTCTCATGTGGAAAACTCTACTGACCACTCACAGCACTGGCGACCACTGATCTGTTTTGTTTTCCCCCCATAATTTTGTCTTTTGCAGATTGTCAGTAAAGCTTCTTTGACTTTTGAGACCAGGTCAGGTGGAAACATTACTTTTAGCATCCTGTATCCCTTATCACCATTATAATTATACTGCATATGCAATTGACTAATACATTGATCAGTGTTCATCTCCAATGTTACACTTTCCCAGACATGTGTGAGGGCAGAGATGGTCTGCTGGTTCATTACTGCATCCTCAGCAGTTCCATGGAGCAGTTGCTCAGCAAATGTTGCTTAATGGACAAATGATGAGCAATTCACTGATGATAAGGAAAGTGCTCTGTTACTATCGACTCAGCAAGAGTAATGTGATATTCAATGGTATAAATCTTTTATGTTGTGAAACAGCAAGAGATCATATTATTCAGAAATTCCTGAAGAGTATGTGTGGAGTTTGGAGTTATATTAGGTCTGAGTATTAGCAATCAGAACCAGCCATGCTATCCCAGATGCATGTCAGGATATCAATTAATTGAAAAAAAAAAAGGGAAACAATCTTTAATTATTTAACACTGTCTTTGGTCATTATTTTGCCTAACTGCATAGTTAAAGCTGTTTATTTGTCATTTTTACATTCCATATATTTTGTAGCAAATCTGATATTACAGTGATGTTTAATAGTAAGATCATGGAATCCTCAAAATCAAACTTATTTTCTGTATGCTCATCAAGTTCAGAGAGAAGGTCTTTGTATTTTGGGTTGGTTTCTCATCCCCGTAAGAATAAAGAAAAAGCATGAACCTAATTTATTGTGCCAACTGGGTTTTATAGATAATTAGCTATAATAAACTTGTTATTAACTAATGTAACATGTCCAGTTGCTACCAGTGCTACTAGACGAGCACCGTGTTATATCTTTTTGTGGGCTATCTCATTGAATCTTTGCAGTAGCCGTATTGAATATGTATTATCATTATCCCTATTGAATAGGTGCAGTATCATATACTCAGCAAGATTTAAGTCACAAGCTAGGCAGCTACTGGTTTGGAGCCATACATGGCCTTGGCTACTTAACCCACTTTTAACTGTTAAGTCATCCTGCCTCTCTACAAACACAGATAGTGTTACTGTTTCAGATTTTTTAAACATAATCTCTTTGGGATTTATACAGCATGTGTTCCACTGAACAATTAGATTATCCAGAAATATGGAATAAAATATCCTAAAGAAAAATATGTGCTTTGGAAGATTGTTGAGCATTTAGTTTGAACACAAATCAAATCCAAGTGCATAGTCCTCATAAATGAATTGAAGGAAAACATATAAATAGTACATAAATGGAGAGGCTTTTCAGTTTTCGACCACAGCTTGTGAGATATCTTCCAAATTGAAAACTTTAAGGTCACTTGATTTGCTGTTATACTGAGCTATGTTTGCATTTAGCTCAACCCCAAATGCTCAGCCATGTGCTAGCTGCAAAAAAACCCCATCACAGCAAGGATTGAGGCATGTTAGGAATGATGATACATTCCTCTACAGTCTTTGACCATTATTGCTTCTCTAGGCTCATTCTCCTCAAGAGATCACATCTACCAGTGAGGGCCAAAAGAGGACTCCCAATCCCTCCAAGAGAGCTGAATGCTATGTATCTTAAAACTGACACATTCTAATGGAATTCATTGTCTCCTCCCCACCCCAACCTTACTTCAAATATTCTGATTCTTCAGTCTTTCTCTTCTCTGAGAATGGGACTACCACCCATTTTTTTTTCCCAAAGTCAAACTGAAATATCACAATTTTCTGCTCCTATCCTTTAACCTCACAGCCAATCAATGATCAAATTCTGTTCATTCCACCTTCCAAATGTTTCTCATATTCACCACCCTAGTCCAAACCATCATATCAGCTTCCCTTTGGATTGCTTCCCCACAGTCACTCCATTCTTTCATGTCTCACCCCCACCGCTATCCCAGTCTGATCTGCAGTTGGTGTAATTTATTCTCCCTGGACTTAGAAACCATTTCTGGCTTCATTCTGCCCTCAGGTTATGCCTGTGTGACATTTGGCTTTTCTCCACCTCCCCAAACTCATTGCATATTGCTTCCTACTTTCTTCCCCTTTCTCACCAATGACTTACTGGCTCTCATAGGTCTCTGACATGCTTTATGACATTGCATCTGCCATTTCCACACCTTAGAATGCTATCATCCTCACCCCACCACCTTGACTTGTAACTCTTGCTCATTCTTTAGATCTCAGCTATACCTTAATTTTCTAGGAGCCCTTCTTTGACTACCCACACCAAGATAGTACCTCTATTTTATTCTTTCATGCATACTTACTATTTCATCATCCTTTTTCTAATTACTTTTTAGCATATCTCTCTAGACTGCTGGACTGTTAGTTTTTCACTGTATTAAGCTCAGTGCTCAATTCACCTCATGACATATGGTAGGTGTTCAATAAATATTTGGTGAATAAATCAACATGGTGGGTCCTTGAGCTGGAGCTATAGGTTCTTTGGACGAGTCATTATGGTGTGGCACCTGTTATTTTTCTACCTCTGTGAAATTCTTAAATTAGGTTTGTACCAGATTTTTGGCAGTAGCTTTTTCAAGTTTACCATCAGGGTCAGAAGAATTTCTGAAAATCAGAGCAGTGATGGCAATAGCATTTTCCAGATCTGAGCCCTTCCTGAGAGCTGTGGGAGAAGACATACACAATGATATAGCCTAAATTAGAAGTAATCTTTCTCCAAACATGGAATTATATCCTCCGTGGGAACTGAGGGGAATGGGATTAGAAAGTATATGTCAACCTGGCCCTGTTCTTGGGCCATTTGTCCCCTACTGAGAGTGGGACATGGAAGAGTTTGATCCTGTACCTTTAAGCAATGGAAACAAAATTTTTTCAGGAGTAATAGAATTGGTAGAATTAGAATGAGATTTACCACCTGCTTGCCATGTGACCTAAGAAAAAAACCTCATCTCTCTACGTTTGAGTTTTCTGATCTGTAAAATATTTATGGAGCACATCCTGTGGGCTAAGCTCAGTCCCTGGCACTGAGGATACCTCATTGAATAAAACAGAGTCCTATTCTTGTGGAGTTAATATTGCTTGTCAGACAGATCATCACCCCAGCCCAGTGTGATAAAGCAGAATGACATGCAGAACAAGCTCTTTGATGTCATGATAGATAAGCAATCTCTTTGACTCACTGCCTCAATCACAGTGATCTCTCAGCTAGTTTCTCTGGTTTAAATTTCTTGAAAGGTCAGTACTAACTCATTTCTTTCCAGTGGGTAGCAACATCAAGAACTGCACAAGGTAGATTGAAGACCATTGTAGGAGACCATTCTGCATGGTCAGGGCCCAGCTCCCACTCGGAGATACACAGGACCCACACCCATGGATAGGTTCTCCTGTGGGAAATCAGGCCTGCATTGTACCTGGGTTGCTTTGAGACTTGCTTTTTACTAAAAACTTCCTCACGCTGAATTGAGATAGCAAGTGCTTACTGTAACTTCCTAAAATCCATGCTAAACCTACCAAGGATAAGTGTAACTGGTCCAACTACTCTTCCCTTTTCATTTGCAAATATCCCTCTTCTGTGATGTGATTAGCCACATCGGCTCCACTGTTTTCTGTAAAACGTAACCACCAAAAGCCAACCTGTGCATAGTAAATGAGGACCATCATGTAATGTGACCAGCAAGAGAAATAAAGGCCTGTCATGGTGATGGAGGCCACGGCTTTTTTCTCCCCTTGAGAGGGAAGCCGCTTGCCCTTTTCCTCCACAGGACTCGGTAGTCCTTGTGAATGTCTTTCCCCTATCCACAATATTGCAGACCCCAGGAGCCAGGCTCCACATCAGACCATTCTTAAGCTCTCTCCTCTCTGAGTCCCTAATACAGTCCCTATTATAGAATTTACATTACAGTTATTGGGTGTTTAACTGGCTTTCTCCCCAGCTGGAATGCATACTCCATGGGGCCAGGGATCATGCATTTATTTATCATTATATTCCCAGGATCAACACAGATGCCAGGTGCTAATGCTGTTGAATAAATAAATAAATAAGAATAAAAAAAGAAAAAGAAACCCCACAGCTTTCAGCCTATGTTGTGTGCAATAATTGTCCATTCAAAGGCTGCTGATCAGTCAGAATAATGTAACTTGTACTGAGCAGTTACTGTGCTCTTGGTACTCCCTTAAAGGACTTAAGACATGGAGGTGACACAACCAGCTGTGGACTCTGCCCTATATATCTTGCAGTCTAGTGGAGATATAAATAAGAACCAGGAGGAACTATGTATACATATATATGTGTTATATATTTTTGATAATTATTTCTCCATAGACATAGGTAATATGCATATTTGTGACTTGTGATGTATGAGGCAAAGAAGGTCCAGAAACAGAAAAAAAATTACTTATTAGGAGAAAAGTGACTTAGATAGCTGGTCTTGGAGTTCTTTGTGAGGTATTAATATTTTAACTAAGACCCATAGGATGAGAAGAAGCCTGTTTGGTGAGAATATGGGGTCACACTGGGGTTAAGGTTGTGTAGAGCATCCCAGGCTCAGAGAGCAATAAGTGCAAAGGCTCAGATCAGGGATCTCAGATCAGTTGGAGCAGTTGAGATGAGATGGTTATGGCTACAGTCTAGAAGCTGGAAGGGGTTTGATTGGGAAAGGTAGGCAGGGTTAGAAGATGCTGATCATAGACCATGGAAGGAAACCAAGATTTTCTTTAAAGTGTAGAGAAAAAACATTGATAAGTTTTAACTATCTATTTTTTTTTTCAATTAAAGGCGAAAGGAAAGAACAAGAGTTAAAAGAAATTGATGAAGGAGGAAGTATGTGGGCTTTCTCAGTTTTTACTGTATCTCTGAGCAGGAATCAAGCTAAATGGTGCTGTTACATTTTTTGTGTCTATAAGCATCTGCTGACAAACAAAATAGAACCACAAGAATGGAATAGAATAGAGTGACAGTGACCTGAGTAAAGTGGGGAGGTTGATAGTCTTGGAGAGAAGGAAGAGACTAAAGAGCATGTATGAATGACCCACAGACATGGACAACAGTGTGGGAATTGACTGTGGGAGCGGGGGGTGGGATGGGCAGACTAGGGCAAAGGGGGAAAAACTGGTACAACTGTAATAGAATATTGATAAAAAATCTTTTAAAAAATCTGCCCAGTATTCTAGTCAATGTGTTGGCATCTCTCCTGTCATTGAGGAAATAGCCCGCTCCATTCCCCCAGGCTATTTTCCCATACCATTTAGCCTGAAGCTAGGATCATTTGGACTTCGTGATGTTACAAATGGATTACTCTTCTCTTTGATCCTCACTCAGAAGTTCTCATTTATTTGCTCCAAGCTAAAGCAAGTTGAAGACATGTGTGTATGCAGCAACCTGGTTTGGATAGAAAGTTGGACCTGCAATATACTGTGCATTTACTGTGTATGACATACTTTAATAACTTGTACAGTACCTTTAATTTTCATAATACCCATAGGAATCATTATACCATTTAACATAGTGGTTTATGATATAAATGTACCATAGTTTGTTTAACCATTCACCTTTGAGGGACATTTGAATGCTTTATAGTTTTGGCTATTACAAATCAAGCTTGTAGGAACATTTGTGTACAAGTTACTATACAAAACATAGTTTTTGTTTTCTTTGGAATAAATCCCCAAGAGTATAATTACTGGGTCATATGATAAGCCCAGTTTTTCTTTAAGAAACTACAAGCTGTTTTTTACAGTAAATGTACCGTTTTACAGTGCCATCAGCCATGTGTAAGAGATCTAGTTTTTTCTCCATCCTTTTCAGCCTTTGTACTGTCACTGTTTATTAGTCATCCTGTTGGTATGTGATAGCGTTTCAATGTGGTTTTAATTTGTATATCCTACTAGCTAATGATGCTAGATAGCTTTGCATGTGCTTAGTTGCCATCTGTATATCTTCCTTGGTGAAACGTCTGCTCAGTTCTGTTCATGGATTTTGCCAATTTTATAACTGAATTTAAAACAATTTTTGAGGCTTGAGAGTTATGTATCTATTAATAAGATTCAAGTCTTTTATAGGATCTGTGATTTGCAAATATTGTCTCTCAGTCTGTAAATTGCCTTTTTATTTTTCTCAATGGTCTGTTCTGTGGAAGAAATGTTTTCAATTTTTATAAAGTATAGCTTAACAATTTATTCTCTTATTAAAAATTTGTCCTATGCATAATAAACAGTTTTATAACTTAATGTTTTACATTTTAATCCATGATCCACTTGAGTTAATTTCTGTATAGTGTGTGGGAGTTAGGTTGAGGTTCGTTTTTTTACCTGTGGATGACCAACTCCTCCAGCACCAACTGTTGAAAACTCTGTCCTTTCTTCATTGAATTGCTTTTGCCTCTTTGTCAAAAATCAGTTGAGCATACTTATGTCAGTCAATTTCTGGGTCCCCTCTTCTGTTTCATTGACCTATGTGTCTTACCCTTTGTCACAGTGTTCTGATTCCTGTAGCTATATAGTAAGTCTTAATATTAGAAAGAGTGATTCCTGACACTTTATTTTTTCTCAAAATTATTTTGGCTATTCTAGCACCTTTCTCTTTCCATATAAATTTTAAGATAAGCTCAACTCTTAAAAAAACCCTTAAATTTTATGGAAATTGCATTAAACCTAGGAAGCAATATAGGTAAAATTGATGTCTTTACTACACTAATTCTTCCAGTCCATAAACCTTGTTTGTTTCTCCAGCATTATAGCATTTTATCAGTGATGAAAGGAGATGATCCTTCTGAGGACACAATGCTAGTAAGTGACAGAACCTGAATTTGGATCCATGTTGAAAACATAAGGCTCATGAAGACAGCGATATTTTTTTTTGCCTGTCTTTTTTTTTGTGTGGCTCATACTAGGTACTTCACAAATGAATGTCCTACTCCTTGATTTCTTCCTTGGTTTCTGATGCTCAGTCTCACCATGGCCTTTGGCTTGTGCCTTATGTTTCCTGATTCCACCTGTGTGCCCAGTGGCTGACCCTCCATCTAGCCTAAAAGCCCAGCTTTAGAAAATCCCCTGCTTTCATAATTCTATTTTTATCTCTTTTTCCCCCATCACTTTACCTCTGCCATACCTGGAAACCTGAATTAAAAATGGAATATTCCTAAATTATTCAAGATTTTCCTGCTCATCAACATACAGGGAGATGGGCATGTTTCTTTTAGCTCATGTCCTCCTTTCCTGGAATGTGTGTATTTGAAGTGGTGGGGTGCTATATGGTGGTAACTATGAATTTAAATGGCTAACGTTAATCTCTGTTTATAAATAGCTGTCTTTAAAAAGCAAATTGCTTAGAGGAAATACTTTAATTCCTTAGGAAGTAAATATTGCTTCTATAATTTTGACCAGTTGACTTCTTAATGAAAGAGAGCTTCTCTTAATTAGAAAGAGAGCTTAGTATAAAAACTGCTTTACCGGGTCTGAGACTTCTCCTGGGGGACAGTAGTCTCTGGTCCTGCTGGTTGTGCTCTTCTGGAGAGGAAGGAGTGAATTTCCAAGCTTGCAAGTGAGCTTGCAAATAATTATAGACACTTCCTTGCTTACTATGTGCCAGGTTGTTTACAAACATAATCTTATTTAATGCTTAGTAAAACCCAGAGCGGTAGGCACTGTTTGTACCTCAGTTTCACA